CTACTACTACTACTACTACTACTACTACTACTACTACTACTACTACTCCTCGCCGAAGGATATCGAAGCCGATTCTGCACATCAGGGTCGATCTCGCCTCACTTGGATTCTGGTCATGTTCGTTTCGGGATCCAGCTGTATGCACCCTTTGAAGCTATGAATCCCTACGCACTTTCTTAGAAGGTATGTGCCTGGAAACCTCGTCCCAAGCAGAAACAAGTGGATGTTTCTTAGTCCCAGCCAGGCCACTCATTTCTTAAAGGATATCACTTGCATTCAATTGCCATGCTGGAACTCGATAGCCAAGAAATTCGTTGGAACAATTCTTCAACCTTTTTTCGGTCGTGGGAATTATCGGAATCACCACTGAGGACTGGCAGACATCCACTTTCCTTCAATGGGGCAACTGGTTTGCTACCAAGGTGCCTGTCCGAATGGGGCTTGGAGCTAGCTGAAAGGGGAACAATTTCGTGTGCTGTGCTCCTGAACAGTATATAGTATACAGTAATATACAGTATATATATATATTTAGAGGGTTGCATTAGAATAGGATAGACTAGGGAGACTCTCTTTCCACTGAGATTAGTTGCTTTTTCCTCTTCCCACAGCTCTTCTATGGTCTATTGGAGAGTCTGTTTATTTTAGGTGGGTCCCTTCGAGCTGTGAGGGGAACGAACCACAGCTGGTCTCCAGAAACATGTGGTCGTCGATGTTGCTTCACTGTACACTACGACTCTCCACTCCACTCCCAAGCAAGACTCGACTAACACCAAGAGTTCGCTCCGTTCTGCTTGGATGGTTTTTCTCGACCCCACGGAAAGCAGTTCTGTGGTTTTTCGGCGCCCGCCCCGCTGAAGCCGTTCTCGGTGGGTTCGAGGTCTCCAGGATCTCCAGGTCCGGTCGACGGCTGAAGCGCCACCCTCCGTGTGGTCGGTGTGGCTGGAGAGTTGTGGATCAAGAAGGGTCAATCCAGAGAGATATGGATCCGCGGTTCTTTGTAAAGGGGTGACGAGGATATCCGAGGGTATCCGAGGACAGGATAGGGGTGCCCTTATCACATCCACTCACTGGTTTGGAACTCCTGGCACTGGGGTTCTTTCTGTCATCTTTTCTTCCCAACTGAAGCGAAGAACAACTCAACAACTCATCCAACTGTAGAAGATGATTCGTCAAACCACTTTGTCTCAGACAAACTGACGACTTCATTTTTTCAAGCCACAGACCCTTTTTGATCCTTTTTGTCTCTCTTCTGTCTCGAGTCCTTGGGTCCTCCGCCTGCCGGAGAGGGCGCTCCTCCTCGATGCGACGTGACGCGAGCGAAGCGGCGGGCTCCTCCAGGTCTTACCGCCCGAAGTGGCCCGAGAGCTCTTTGCGGCCGCAGGCGGGGTGTGTTGTTTGTTTCCATTTTTTGGGGCGGTTGGGGTGGCAAGGAGATCTTTGGGCCGGTAGCATTGGAGGGTTTGGTTTGCGTGTTCAAGGAGGAGGTTATATACTGTTGTTCTTAAACCAATTACAAATGACTCTTATTTGTGAGTTTGGATATAGTACTATAGCATGGAAATATTCACTAGCTTGCCCAAACTAGATATAGACAGTGATATTTAGCTAGCCTATAGGGCCGACTTTGCAATGGTGGTGCTGAGGAAGCTCGCCAGATGTAAGGCCTTTTCTTTCATTGGTTCTTAAGTTGCGACACATCGCTTTAGTGATTCTAGGTGGTGCTCTAAGGCACTTCTGATTGAGGTATACCTGATATGTTCTATCATCTGATAATCTTATATATAGGAATTTGAGGCCTGGACACTACCAACCCACGCACTGAACCGGGTTAGACAGCACGGTGCCTTCGCACCTCGTCTGGTGCCTTCGCGGAGTTTCGACCGAAGAAGAATCGGGAGGTGGAGGCGAGGAAACCGAAGAACAGGAACAGCAGGATTTCCAGTCATGACGTAGTCCAACCCTACACATGGCACCAGAAAACTCATCCACAATGACCTGGCACCTGCAATCTCCTCTGTGCGCAGATGTGGAGTTCCTGAAATATGACCTCGCTGATTTGCATCTGCCGCCGTTGCTGGGTTGTAGCTCAAGCCGGATGGTTTTGGTCAGATCTGACGTTGCCTTCACCAGTTAAGCGGTCCATGGGCTGATTGAAGGTTTTTGGAGGTTATATGATGATATCAGTCAGCTGTGTCGAAGTTTTGAAGGTTCAACCAGCGGTTTTGGGAGGTTTTGGAGCTGTGTCGAAGTTCAACCTTTTTCTGCAGAGTCCATGCGGTCTCCAAGAAATGAATGTGCATGTCTGCCGCCCTTGGAACCCCCAGCCATAAAACAAAAGGATTTAGACATTGTATATATTTATATATATTTTGCATGTGGTAATTCGAAACCTTCTTGCAAGAATTGAATCTCGGTCATCTCCTTGTGAAGGAACCTTGAAAGCCGATGTGCCACAAAAAGAATAGGAAAAACATCATACAAAGCAACCCAGCGGAGTTCTCGGTCATTTCAACAGGGACAAAAACGTGGAATCGGAACATGTCCCAAGAGGCCATGCCATCCTTCTAACCACGTTAGTTCCAGGAGAGTGGGGAAGTCTAAGCTAAGTCTAAGCTCCAAGCTCAGTTGAACACCCAGGGAGTGCTCCATGCATTTCAATCGGTCTCGGGAGACCTGGAGGTACTACTGGAGGTGCCACGGAACCCAACACATGGAGTCTGAGTTTGATATGCATATGAAGAGGTTGTCCAGCTCAACAAAAGCTTGTCACCAAAGAGTTTGAAGACATACAATTTAATAATTTAATATATGACTGGTTTCTATGGTATCCTTGCATGGCTGATTGTCTTGATGTTGGACAGTCACCAGGACTGATTGGAAGGGAAACAGAGGCAATCGCCCATACATAGTATTTGTGGTTCAAACATCACATGCCCCAATTCGCAGCCTTTTTGTCGTAGGTAGTACATTTCTTTGGTGCGCGTGGTTTGTCCAAAACCAACATCGTTCTAGTCGTTTTTGGCAGCGGCCTTTGTGATAAAGAGCCTTTGGGCAAGGTTACTGTGAGGAGATCCCAGCTGTCACTGGTGCTCTCCACTGAGTTGGAGGCTCCGCTGACCCCTTTGGAACTCCTCGCAGGGTCCTCCAACAGCCCCCGTTCGACGCGACCGGCTCCGCGGAAAAAACGGAGATCGCTCGAGGTTTCAGTTTGAGATCGATCAGCACGAGACGGCCGGCCTGCGGTTGCATATCTCAGCCGCCCGGTGCGTTTTTTCTTTTTCTTTTTTCCTTGGCGTATGGGATCGTATTTATGAGGATGTAATTATGAGGTGTGAAAGAAGAGAGGTGTAGGTACTCTTGATCTAAAAGGACCAAGCATACGAAGAGGTTTTACAATCCAAATTGGGGGGTTGGGTGTGCCATCAGAGCTCAACTACTTGGCCAGGATGCGGTTCGATCCATGGGAAATCAGATTGGAGAACGGCTTCCAGGATTTTCCTCCTCTCGTTGATGAAATGCAGAGTGCCACCGAAACCTTGGGACCCCTTCCACATTGCATATGGGGATGGGTCGCAACCTGGAGCCCGCAGCAGCTTCACCTTCCAAGTCGGTCAAACAAGGTATCCTGGTGCCACGACACACAGGCGTTTCTGTGATCGTTTCTTCTGGTGTTTTGGGGTCTCTTGTGCAGATCTTACGTCAAGAGTACGCACCAGGCGGATTCCGAGGCCAATAAGTCGTCCTCTATCACAGACCATACTGAGGGATTCCTGCGGTGCTGTAGTGAGTGAGAAAGAACCCGGTCAAACGTTTGTTCCCCAAACAGCTTTGCTGTGAGGGGTTCTCAATTCTTGCATAGGAACGATGCTGGGCCAAGATGATTCCCGCCCTTTGGCTTCCCTTGTCTCCCATGGCGTGTCTGGATGCTGGGCTGAGATGATTTTG